TCTCTCGACAGACAGTCTGGGTTCTACAGCCGGTACTTCATCGTTCCAAAGAAGGATGGAAGTTCCTGAGGTTTGCTTTTGGGGGCAAAAGCTTACCGGATTCTTCAGTCGGCCTTGCACTCTTACCCCGCACTTTCACGAAGTGTGTGGATGCTGCTCTGGCTCCTCTGTGACTCCAGGACATCCATGAGAGAAGGCCGGTCACTCACTGTCAGCAGTTCCAGAAACTGTTGGGTCTGATAGCAGCTGCATCCAACTGGAGACCTTTTAGCCTGCTGTACATGAGACCCCTGCAGTGGTGGCTCAAGACCAAGGGGTTCTCCCTGAGAGGAAACCCGCTCCGCATGAAGGTCATGCAGTGATGCCTACGTGCCTTAGATATGTGGAGTAACCTTGGTTCTTGTCTCAGGGCCCGGTGCTAGGAGCTCCTTGTCGCCGCGTAATGCTAGCAACGGACGCGTCCCTCACCGGTTGGGGAGCGGTCATGAGTGGCCACCATCTCATGTGGCACTTCAACTGCCTGGAGATTCTGGTCACGTTTCTAGCATTGAAACACTTTCTCCCAGACCTAAGAGGTCGCCATGTGTTGGTGCGCACCGACGACACAGCGGCGGTCTCTTAAATCAACCACCAGGGAGATCTGCGTTCGTGCCCCCTTTACAGGCAGGCGCACCAGATCCTTGTGTGGTCCCGGGGCAAACTCCTCTTGCTGAGAGCAGTTCACATTCCTCGGCTTCTCATTATGGGAGCAGACATCCTGTCGAGGCAGGGGCCGAGGCCCGGGTAACAGAGAATTTTTGGCCAGGCTCAGGTGGACCTGTTTGCGACTCAGGAGACATTGCACTGTCCTCTGGTTCTCTCTGACTCATTCAGCTCCATTGGGGCTGGATGTCATGGTACAGACTTGGCCGAGGCTTCGTCTGTATGCCTTTCCCCCGATCGCTCTGCTCCCAGGAGTTCTGGAGAGAGTGCGCCAGGACGGGGGCCGTCTACTGCTAGTGCCCCATTCTGGCCGGGCCGAGTATGGTTCTCGGACCTGATTTCCCTACTCGACGGCTCTCCACGGGAGATTTCCTTCAGGAGGGATCTCCTCTCACAGGCGGAGGGTACTATCTTCACTCCCACCCGGAGATGTGGAAGCGTGGGTGTGGCCCCTGGGGGGGCACAACTTGCAGCTTCCTGTCTCTCAACCGAGGTTGTTGAGACCATTCTCCAATCCAGAGTTCCCTCTACAAGGAAGCTGTATGCCCTGAAGTGGAAACTTTCACTTCTTGGTGCGGAGACCGCCAGCTCGACCCAGTTTACTGCCCAGTTGGTACAGTGCTGGAGTTCCTTCAGGCCCGATTCTCTGCAGGGTTTACCCTCTCCACCTTGAAGTCTACATGTCGGTGGCCAGTCAGTGGGCAGACACCCCCTAGTTACACGTTTCCTCCACGGTGCGCTGAGGCTGAGGCCGAGGCTGAGGCCTCTGGCCAGAGAAGCTTATGCTAAGCAGGTGGATCAGGATGCTTTTTCATCGCCTCGAGTCCTCTGATCTCCTCTCTCCTTTAGGGGTCTAGGCTCACTCCTTCTGAAGTTGGCCTTCGGGACGCTGTGGGATGTCCCCGCCTACTTTGTCAGGTGACTACCTGCATTCTGCGCTACTCCTTGCTCCTTTCTCTCGCCTTAGCTGTGCTCTTCCACACTAGGCAGGGATTTGTAAGTCTGGCCGCGTGGGCATACTCGTTCCCAAAGCGTTTTCGACGCAGCTCAAGCTCCTGAAGGGGAACGTCTCCAGGTTACGAATGTAACCATGGTTCCCCGAGGAATGAGATGCTGCGTCTCAGTGCCATACTTCCAGCATCCCTGTGAGCGCTTGCTTCATTCCTAGAAGCTGACGCCGGTACCACCGCACATGCTTTTATGGCTTCCTGGTCGCAACGTCACCCGCCCATGACGTCTCACCCATCTATTGGACTGATTTCATATGTGATTCAGAGCATTGTCTCGCTTGAAGTCGTTCCCAAAGCGTTTTCGACGCAGCGTCTCGTTCCCTCGGGGAACCATGGTTACATTCGTAACCTTTCATTTTTAAATTCACAAATTAAAGTTACAGATGAGTTATGATTGGGGTAGTGTTCAAATATCTTTATATAATCAGAAAAAAGGTGAATAAAAATAAATAAGTTTTGATAAAGTGGTGTCATATCTGTTCGCAGATTAACCTTTTCCAAAACAAATGCAGGAATATACTGTAGTCTATAATATATTTAACGGTTCACTGTTCCTTATACATGTTTTTTTTTTTTACAACACTATTTCACAATTAAATATGATAGTTTTCATAAACTATATACAGTTGGAAAGTTTTTCAGCATTACTGCATTTTTCGGACTTGTTACTACTGCTCCATTCCGCTCCAGCGTCTGCGCGCTCCTTACTGTTATAGCCTAGCACAACCGTCAGAACACCGAGAGAAAGATATTAAGCCTAAATGTCTTACCATGGTCGAGTAAACACCAGAACAATAAGGGCGAAATAAAGAGCAGCTTCATTTTCATTAGGTTTTCTAAAAAATAAATGCAGATTTTGGTAGATAATAGTGCTATGTTCTTTCTCTTCAGTAAACCCGAAGCCATTGTGTCTTCTTCTTCTTATTGTTTTACGGCGGTTGGCATCCAGCGTACTGGTGCATTAAGAAACCGTTGTGTCACGAATGAAAGTGAAAGTATAACTTGGGAGGCTCCCTACACACTGCAGTGCGATGACGTAGAGACGTGTCGTCTTCACGTTCTTTAAGTGATGTTTTATTAACAAAATTCGGGAGTAGCACGCGCAGATAATCAACCCGGCAAATGCCGAGCTCGGACATTAATTAGCCTATCTGGATGAATTCAAACAGTATAAAGCTTTCACAAACACAAACAAGAGAGTAAGAGACCACTGCGTGTCTTCAGCCAGTAATACTGTCTGTCAAATTTATGAATGA